AGTCCATCAACGCATTGACCGAATGCGAGTCCGCACACTCAAACAAGGACGCAGAGCATGCAGCACCCACCCACTCGCGTGTGTCTCCAGCTAGAGCCGGTCAGCAAAGACGAGGACAGGCCGACTGGCCAGGTCCCTGAAGGCGGGGGGGAAGTCCGGCAAGAGACGCTCCTCGTCGGCTGGGAGGGGGCGAGAGACACACTCGTCGAAGATCGGAAGAAGAGATGGGGCAGAGGAAACGTCCAGGCAGAGAGGGCGATGGCGGTCACGGCAAACGGGGGCGGCAAACCAGAAAGTAGGACGACCGCTGCGATTGATCCGGGCCCCGTACGTCAAACAAACGCTTAAAGCCGTCACACTCAGCGGTCGTATAGGCAACCTGAGTCTTCAGCTTTAGACTCAGGTTGCCGAGCGAGCTTCCCAGATTGTCGGTCCATCCGGGAACCTCGCCAAAATGGCTCTCGGTCACAACGATAGGGGATGCGTCGATCCTGACTGTGAGCAACGGGAACGGTGAGCGCGCGTATGTCTGTGTGCGTGTCAGTCGTATCAGGGTTACCGAGTGGGTGGATGAGCGGATTACCAACAACCTCCAACTCCTTCAACACACAATACCAGCGGAATCCGATCCAAAGCCAGCCCTGCCCCATGTGGGGCCAGCCCTGTGGGGTGGATGTCCGCCCTGCAGCGGTAGGGCCAGCCTTGCAATGAGACAGCCAGCCCTGTGCATGTAAGGCCAGCCCTACCGCCACAGGGCCAGCCCTGCCGCCACAGGGCCAGCCTTTGCAGCCACAAAGCCAGCCTTGTGAGTGAAAGGCCTACGACTCGATCCGTGAAACGTTACCCCCAAAATGGAAATAGCTGTATAGTTTCGAACGCGGGTCATGAGGACAATTCCGGGCATTCTCATCTCCGTCTTGTCAGTGGCTCGAATCGTGCGCGAAGGACGGGCCGGGAACAATGCGCCATTTCATGACGTGATTCACCCTCCGAAAAACAACGTGGAATTGACTGTCACTGTGTTCGTTGACGATGGCGGCACTTTGAGGTACAAGGTCGATGCCCAGGACCAGCAAATCATCAGCCCCTCGTCGCTGGGACTGCTCCTCTCCGGTGGCGTGCGCATCGGCAGCGACGTTACAATCGAGAAAAAAACTGACCATAAAGATGTCAAGGAGAGCTATCGAAAGATGGGCACACACCCTGTGGCTCAAAGTCACTATGGTAAACGGAGCTGGGAAAATTGGCAATGTGGGGAAACTGCTTCCATCGTATCTTTTGTAACTCAGTTGAGGTGACGTACACTGTCTTTCACATCCCCACCGTAGGACAAAAACGCGCGTGAACAAGAAGACTCATGGGATGTCGCACGGTGGAATGTCTCCATGCAGGAGTTTACCTATTTGGTTGACTTTCGGGTCCATGATGCTCCCAGCCCGGGCATATCATTTCGCTATCGGATGCTGGGGAATGAGTCTCTGGTGATCCAGGATGATATGTCAGAATTTCGCATGGATTTCGCGCCAACCGACAGAGTGAGCCTTCACGACATAGACGGGCTTCGTTTGACTCACTTCGTCCGAGCGTCTGCAGGCGTGGACGTATGAACGCGAGGATGGGCGACCCATGCTGGAGTTAAAGACGGATACGGGCCCTTTTAAGAAAGTCAGGCCATCCATGCTAGCCCTCCGACAGAGAGGCAACAAGGCCCGCTACGGACTGCCGATGGTGATTGAGGATTCCTCGTGGTCTGTGCCTTACCCTTATCGAGCAATCCATGAAGCTGCTTTGTTCGATTGGGAAGGCTTTCACATCGTCGCCTTGCCGGATGCGAAAGGCTTTCGAACAGAGCTGGCGCGGGTTGCCCACCCTGGAGCACCGCCTCTCCTGAAAATGTCCCTTCCCCTGACCACCTCTTGGCGCGTCGTTCAAATAGCCCGAAATCTCAACCAGCTCGTCAACAGTGACCTTATTTCTGACCTCAGCCCACCACCCGAAGTCCGGAATCCAGGCTTGTTCGCATTTTTGAAGACCTCAGGAGAGTTGCCTGACCTTCCAGGCTACATCAAGCCCGGCAGGTAGGTATTACTCCCATCTACAGCAGAGTTGGCTTCTTATCTGCTCTGAAGGTCTGCCTGGAGCTGGTGGGGCAAGAGAGGGGCCAAAGTCCTAGGCCCCGCAGGTGAAATTCAATACCTCGAGGCGGCATCGAAGTTAGGCTTCGAATACACGACCATTGACGACGGTGCGACCGAAACATGATGATGCGCCAAATGAGTACGTTCACACTCTCTAACACTGTAGGATGGGAGAAGTGGCCAGATGCTTGGGAGACTGTCAAGAACCTAACAGGGTATGCAAAGACGAAGGGAGTTGGCGTCTTCCTGTGGAAGCACCGCATACAAATCGACGATCCTACCGACGACTACAAGTCAGAGATCACCTATATGAGCGGCTGGTATCTTGTGTGTATTTTCCATCCCCTCTCTACCACGTAACCCCCTTTTCAGACAGCTCCAAGATTTCCTCGATAGGGTGAAGCAGGCTGGCGCAGTGGGTATCAAGGTGGATTTTTTTGAGAGCGAATGGTACAACGGCATCCGCCTGCAGGAAGCCGTCAATAGGGAAGCGGCAAAGCGAGAACTGATGACGAACCTACACGGCATTCAGAAGCCGACTGGAGAGAGCAGGACCTACCCAAACGAAATCACTAGAGAAGCGATCTTTGTAATGATCGTGCTTCACGACTGACGCTGGCGATAGGCAGCTGAATGTACTCATTTTTATGCTTGCCTTCCTGGATTTCGTAACGTGTCAGGGGCTTGAAGTAAACAAGCTTTGGCCCAATATCAAGCTGAAACCGGTCCACAACGCTGCGCTCAGCTTCACAAGATTCTCAAGTATGGTGGCTGTGGACACACGTGACCGCCATGTAGGCAGACACGGCCACGGTGGCTGTGTGCCTACGTTTCTCTGCAGGCGGCCCGGGCGACTACACACCGTTGGCGTTGCGAAGGGAGAGAAGAGGCAAGACCACTGAGGTCGGACTGTCACGCACTGGCAAAGTCTTTGGATTTCTAACCAAAGAATCTCCTTTGCAGGTCCACCAAGTAGCGACGCTGGTGACGTTCACATCTCCCTTGCAGACGATTGCGGAGAACATTTCTGTTATTCGGAGTAAGAGTTATCGGGACGTCATTGCAGCAATTCCGACGACCTGGGATGAGACACGAGCCCTTCCTCCCTCGGCGATTGGCAGCCTGACTGTGCTTGCGCGTCGAAAGGGTGACACATGGTACATCGGGATTGTAAGTGGAGTGGCGCAGACCCGGAACATCAAGTCGATCCCTCTCGACTTCCTCGACTCGAACAAAATCTACACAGGGACGTTCCTGTATACCCACTCGATGAGCGACAACGAACAGGATGACAAGGTTGCTGTCAAGAGGGTCCGGAGAATGAAGTGCACCAGGCTGACTAACGTGCGGCTGTGGGGCGAGGGTATCAGAGCAGATGGAATGGTGCTTATCATGAAGCAGATGGGGAAGCGAGCTGCAGTGTAATGCTAGCCGGTACATTCTCAGAAACTGGCCGCGAGGGATCTATCCAGCGTGATCGCTTCGACGCTGTCCTCTGAGCACTTATCAAAATGGCTATCGACCGTAGGTCAACTAAGTCACGAGGTACAGAGTGTCTTAGGGCGTTGACTTAGTTGCGGTGTGCTAGTAAGACCTTCTTGGAGCCTCCTACCTTCACACAGTGTACCTTCACACACAGACAAACATCCAGTCGGTTATCCGTTCCACCCACACCCAGTCCACCATCGATGTCGTCCATGAATGCACTAACGAAGTCGTCGGGGAACTCTTCGTGCAGTTTGACGAGAGCAGGGTGGAGGCCCAGGCAGAAGAGAGCTCGCTGCATCGCCTTGCTGGGTGCCTTCCTGACTGAGGATGGTCTCTGTGCGTCCGTCCTCCATGCGATACCACAGCTCAGCCGGGGTGCCGTAGAACTGCCAGAAAAAGTCGACAAGGGACGGCCACTTTGTGCGAGCTCGTCGAGGATTGCCGGTCGGTCGATGTTGAAGGCGTTCTTGCAGTCCAAAGTCACCAACGAAACACGTCTATCAGAGTCGTCGCGGCTTGTCTCAGTGAAGGTCAGACAGGCGCGAAAAAGCTTTTCTCCGCCTGCCGACGTACCGACCACGAACTGCAGGGGTGAAAAATAGTCTTCGAAGGCGAGTTTGTTATCCATACAGACCGCCTTCGTTACCCATCTCCGAAGCACATCACCCATAGCAATGGCCGGACCCCTCCGTTGTCTTTCATCAGAGTAAAAAGGCGGGCAGCCGAAAGAGTCTTAGTGCAGCTGTCCGCCATGTCTCCAGCGAGCATCCGAGCCCACAAACGAGTGAATTGCAGGCCCGACACGGCAGATGGCGGAACTCCTGGTCAGGTGGCCGTGCGAGAGAGCATCCCGGGCATACACGATCACAGAGGAGGGGGGAGAGGGCCGGAGGGGAGCGGGGGCCAGAACGAGAGCCGACACATCGGAGACACCAAGAATGCACTCCGGGCAGAAATAGTGTCGGCAAAAGGGGCATTCGATGAGGGGCATTTGATGGAGGCTACACGCTCGTCCCTCAACATAGTCGGGAAGTCGAGCCCGCTGGGTCTCAGCAAGGCGGACAACGCAATACACACAGCACCGGTGCGTCGCCAGGGCGGCTGCGGGAGGGTCCCGCGACGGTTCACGCGGGAGAGAGGGCCAGTGATCGTGCAGACACACGACGTCTCTCACAGGGCGATCCTCCGCACAGAACTGACACGTCTCGAAGGCAGAGTCCAAACTCATCACTTCGCCGCTGAGCAAGAGAAGTAGAAGGAGGACAAGTCCATCAACGCATTGACCGAATGCGAGTCCGCACACTCAAACAAGGACGCAGAGCATGCAGCACCCAC